TTATCCCAGGGATGCAAGCATTTTTCAGTATACACAAGTCAATCAGTGTGGTACACCTTATTAACAAATTGAAGGAGAAAAACCACATGATCATCTCAATAGATGCAGAAAAAGCATTTGACAAAATTCAACATGCATTTATGATAAAAACTCCCCAGAAAGTGGGCATAGAGGGAACTTACCTCAACATAATAAAGGCCATATATGACAAACCCACAGCAAACATCATTCTCAATGGTGAAAAACTGAAAGCATTTCTTCTAAGATCAGGAAAAAGACAAGGATGTCCACTCTCGCCACTATTATTCAACATACCTTTGGAAGCTCCAGCCAAGGCAATCAGAGAAGAAAAAGAAATAAAAGGAATACAAATTGGAAAAGAAGAAGTTAAACTGTCATGGTTTGCAGATGACATGATACTATACATAGAGAATCCTAAAGATGCCACCAGAGAACTACTAAAGCTAATCAACGAATTTGGTAAAGTTGCAGGATACAAAATTAATGCACAGAAATCTCTGGCATTCCTATACACGAAGGATGAAAAATCTGAAAGAGAAATTAAGGAAGCACTCCCATTTACCATTGCAACGAAAAGGATAAAATACCTAGGAATAAACCTACCTAGGGAGACAAAAGACCTGTCTGCAGAAAACTATAAGATACTGATGAAAGAAATTAAAGATGATACAAACAGATGGAGAGATATACCATGTTCTTGGATTGGAAGAATCAACATTGTGAAAATGACTATACTACCCAAAGCAATCTACAGATTCAATGCAATCCCTATCAAATTACCAATGGCATTTTTTACAGAACTAGAACAAAAAATCTTAAAATTTGTATGGAGACACAAAAGACCCCAAATAGCCAAAGTAGGCTTGAGGGGAAAAAACAGAGCTGGAGGAATCAGGCTCCCTGACTTCAGACTATACTACAAAGCTACAGTAATCAAGACAATATGATACTGGCACAAACACAGAAATATAGATGAATGGAACAGGATAGAAAGCCCAGAGATAAACCCATGCACTTATAGTCAACTAATCTATGACAAAGGAGGCAAGGATATATAATGGAGAAAAGACAGTCTCTTCAATAAGTGGTGCTAGGAAAACTGGACAGCTACATGTAAAGGAATGAAATTAGAACACTCCCTAACACCATACACAAAAATAAACTCAAAATGGATTAGAGATCTAAATGTAAGACCAGACACTATAAAACTCTTACAGGAAAACATAGGAAGAACACACTTTGACAAAAATCACAGCAAGATCTTTTTTGATCCACCTCCTAGAGTAATGGAAATTAAAAAAAAAAAAAATGGGACCTAATGAAATGTAAAAGCTTTTGCAAAGCAAAGGAAACTACAAAGAAGATGAAAAGACAACCCTGAGAACGGGAGAAAATATTTGCAAATGAAGCAACGGACCAAGGATTAATCTCCAAAATATATAAACAGCTCATGCAGCTCAATATTAGAAAAACAAAGAATCCAATCAAAAAATGGGCAGAAGACCTAAACAGACATTTCTCCAAAGAAGACATACAGATGGCCAAGAAGCACATGAAAAGTTGCTCAACATCAGTAATTACTAGAGTAATGAAAATCAAAACTACAATGAGGTATCACCTCACACCAGTTAGAATGGGCATCATCAGAAAATCTACAAACAACAAATGCTGGAGAGGGTGTGGAGAAAAGGGAACCCTCTTGCTCTGTTGGTGGGATGTAAATTGATACAGGCAGTATGGAGAACAGTATGGAGGTTCCGTAAATAACTAAAAATAGAATTATCATATGACCCAGCAATCCCACTACTGGGCATATACCCAGAGAAAAGCATAATTCAAAAAGACATATGCACCCCAATGTTCATTGCAGCACTGTCTACAATAGCCAGGAGATGGAAGCAACCTAAGTGTCCATCAACAGATGAATGGATAAAGAAGATGTGGTACATATATACAATGGAATATTACTCAGCCATAAGAAGGAATGAAATTGAGTCATTTGTAGAGACGTGGATGGATCTAGAGACTGTCATACCGAGTGAAGTAAATCAGAAAGAGAAAAACAAATATCATATATTAACGCATAGATGTGGAACCTAGAAAATGGTACAGATGAACTGGTTTGCAGGGCAGAGACACAGATGTAGAGAACAAACGTATGGACACCAAGGGGGGAAAGTGGCGGGGGGGGATGGTGGTGGGATGAATTGGGAGATTGGGATTGACATGTATATACAAATATGTATAAAATGGGTAAGTAATAAGAACCTGCTGTAAAAAAAAATAAATGAAATGAAAATTTCAAAACAAAAAACCTAAAAAAAAAAAAGACATTGCAGGGGAAGAAGTTAAGGCACATTGTAGCTTCAGCTGTAGTTCAGCTCCACCCTGATCCTACAGGGAGCTCTGGAGTGTGAAGAATGGGGATGCTCGTCAACAACCTATAATTCACTAAGCAGCCCCCAGAACCATGAATGATGCAGCCTCAGGTGCCAATAGCACCAAAGCTGGAACACTCTCGAAGGACATTTTTCTGGAGAAGAATGATGTTGTGTGTGATCAGCACACAGGGCAGCTGGTGATTATGTACAATGACCCCATGAAGGGAATCCGGAGGGGTGACAGAAGCAGTGTCCACTAGCGTTGGTCTGTCTGTATTGGGCAACTATTTCAGAAGGGGAACCATTTTTACAATAGTTTCCAATAAATCTCAAGGTTGCAATTCTTTCAAAGTAATGAACTTACGTTCATACTCCATGAATGGCTTCTGAAGAGAGACAGTAAGGTGATGGTAACCCAGCGTAGCCGGAAACTTCGTTTTGCCAAGGACTTGACCCCAACTGCAAAATTAATGGAAGTGCTGCAGGGAAATTCGGAAGGAGCTGATGTACCTTGAAGAAGCAGTGACAAGTCACTGCTGTGAGGGGGTTTCTTTGCAGAGTCCGGATGGTTGTTCCCCTAGGAATTCCATTAACATAATTGAAGGGAGGATTTATTATGTTCTGGTTAAGTGGAATGAAAGGGGCTAATTAGAAGCTGCCCTTCTTGGGACATTAATTTAATCTTGAAATTCTTAAGAGCAGAGAGGGGACAGGCTTAAATGTTGTACACAATATACGTCTCCAGTTCTCTTGAAGAGAGGGACCGTGGCTTCAGTCCATCTGAATTAGTCATGAGTCCATAGTATATTTATATGCATTTAAGTAGTGAGACTATTTCCCGTTTTTCTCCATGATTGATACATCAGAAACATGACAAAATAAAGCAAAGAGTACCTATTTGGGAAATACGTGGATTTTCCAGAGTGATATAACGTCTTGGTCTTTCTTCTGTGACTTTGAGAATACACAATCGAATGTGCAGTAACACATTTTTCATATTAAAGGGTGTTCAGGTTAATCCCCCCTGATCATTTGTGATTTCATTCATTTCTAAGCCAACATGTTAATTTTAAAAATATATGTATTAGGGGCTTCTCTGGTGGTGCAGTGGTTGAGAGTCCGGCTGCCGATGCAGGGGACGCGGGCTCATGCCCCGATCCGGGAAGATCCCACATGCCGCGGAGCGGCTGGGCCTGTGAGCCATGGCCGCTGAGCCTGCGCGTCTGGAGCCTGTGCTCCGCAACGGAAGGGGCCACAGCAGTGAGAGGCCCGTGTACCGCCAAAAAAAAAAAATATATATATATATATATATATATATGTATATGTATTAAATATATAATATAAAGTATATTAAAATTAAAAATATATTGATGGAGAAATCAAAAGCTTTACAGACAAGCAAAAGCTAAGGGAATTCAGCACCACCACACCAGCTCTAAAACAAATGCTAAAGGAACTTCTCTAAGTGGAAAAGAAAAGGCTACAACTAGAAATAAGAAAATTATGAGTGGGAAAGGTCCCTGGTAAAAAATGATACAAATGAACTTATTCATAGAACAGAAACAGACTCAGACTTCAAAAACAAACTTACGGTTACCAAAGGGAAAATATGGGTGGGAGAGATAAATTGGGAGCTTGGGTCTAACATATACACACTACTATATATAAAATAGATAAACAACAGGGACCTACTGTACAGCACAGGGGACTCTACTCAATATTCTGTAATAACCTATATGGATAAAGAATCTGAAAAAGCATGAGTATATATAAATATATATATATATCTGAATCACTTTGCTGTATACCTGAAACTAACACATTGTAAATCAACTATACTCCAATAAAATAAATTTTTTAAAAATGTACATAAAAGCTAAATTGTCCCCTGCTTCTTTAAAGGAAATATTTTTGCAGAAACACATCCACTTTATTAAACAAATAAAATCGGAACTAGTCTTCTTGACTCACGTTCAAGAGGAAAAAAGAAAGAAATCAGCATTAGATAGCATACCCAGCAAGAGGGAGACTCTTCTAGAAAAGTATTGATGCAAACCAAGAAAAAAATTGCTTCCAATTTTATCATTTTCTGAAATGATAAGAATCAGATTGCTTGTGTCTCTACACAGATGACCCGGCTTCTCTCAGAAGTCGCTATAATATGTTGAGTGATGGTATCTTCTTGCTAGGATGGGCTACTTTAGAAAAATTTCAGAGCAGCAGGGATGCACAAAAAGTGATGTCATAGGGTTGCAGAAAAAAATAATAATTTAGAAGAACTAACAGGAAAAGGATCAGCCATAGGTGATGCTGAAAGATGTACGTTGAGGTGAAGTTCTGTGAAAAGAAGGAGTGAAAAAAACACCCAAGGAATGAATTGTTAAAGTATTAAGTCTTCCTGAGATAAGCAACATTTTGATTTTAACAGGTGAATTTTAACTCCCTAGTAGCTGAAAATAACCTATGTTCTTGACTCAGGTTTCGATGTAATCATATTTCTGATGAATCCTATTTCTGCGTTTGTACTTAAGAAGTGTTATCGAGTGTGGCCGGCGTTTAGGGTAACATATAAATAAAGTAAATAAATGGTCATGCTACCTTCGGGGATGGGTTTGGGCCCTGGCTCCCGGATGGCAGGCCTAAAAAGATGACCTCATCAGTCAATCAGCTGTACTTTATCAGGTATGGGGGTGAGAGGGAGGGAGCTTTGGGACGCAAACACTGTAAGGAAATTCAGCGGAGACCTCCACATCCAACAGAGCATGCTTGCCGTGAACTTTCCTGGTCTTCAGGATTGCTGTAGAGTTAAAATGGTCATCACACCTGTGATTGAAGAGAATAAAATCAAAACAAAAGGAGTTAGCACAGACATAGAGAGCAGACTGGTGATTGCCAAGGGGGAGAGAGTTGGGGGAGGGACAGAGTGGGAGTCTGGGATTAGCAGATGCAAACTAGTATATGTAGGATGGATAAACAACAAGGTCCTACTGTAGAGCACAGGGAACTGTATCCAGTCTCCTGGGATAAACCATAATAGAAAAGAATATTAAAAAAAATGTATATATGTGTATAACTGAGTCACTTTGCTTCAATAAAGAAAAAAATGTATGTATCTGTCATGTATCTCTATGCTCAGCTAGGGGCAGTGCTTAAAATTTGGTTTGTTTTTTTTAAAATATTTTTAAAAATTTATTTATTTTATTCTTTTTTTTTTTGTTTCTTGGCTGCGTTGGCTCTTCATTGCTGCACACGGTCTTTCTCTAGTTGTGGCGAGCGGGGGCTACTCTGTTGCGGTGTGCGGGCTTCTCATTGCAGTGGCTTCTCTTGTTGCAGAGCACAGGCTGTAGGCACGCGGGCTCCAGCAGTTGTGGCATGTGGGCTCAGTAGTTGTGGCTGGCAGGCTCTAGAGTGCAGGCTCAGTACTTGTGGTGCACAGGCTTAGTTGCTCCGTGGCATGTGGGATCTTCCCGGACCAGGGATAGAGCCCTTGTCCCCTGCATTGGCGCCACCAGGGAAGCCCCTAAAATTTGTTATATAAATGTGTGAACAAGTAAATGAATGGTTAAAAGAGTATACAGCAGCGGAGGGCACTTTAAAAAGCTCTGTTCAGGGATGCATTTTCAAATCGTTGCCAGTCCGGTGCCTTGGCCACAGAGTAATAGCTACACTTTATTGAAGAGCTACATTGTACCAAGCATTTTAGCTTCATTAAGTCAAATTCTCACAACAGCCCCCAAAAATTGGTGGAGTTTAGTCCATTGGCCAAGAATCCACAGCCAGTAAGTGTCAGCATTCGACTTGGAACCCAAGACTAACGGGCTGTTAAATGTGGGGGATTAGAATTCATCCCTGTTTCTTTGGGGAGATAACCCAGAAAATAATTTATATAAAAATAGATTCCTACATCCTCAAATCATCATCTCCACATATGAGGAAACCCTAAGTCAGCTCTAAGGAATCGATGGGCATTTTTCTTTTCTTTCAATCCCAGCACCTCTTCTGACCGACATTTTTATGACCTTGTTATTACAGGTTACATTTTGTGCGATAAAACTAGATGGGTATTTAAAAGTATAGGCGTTTAAAGGTCCAACTCTCTTTTCTCAACAGTAAACAGTAATGCCTTTCATGACAGTAGTGACAAGGAGATTAATTAGCCTGCGTTTGTAAAATACTTCGTGCTTCCGGCACCAGATTCATTTCCTTTGGTGTGTTTCCAGTGGAGAGCAGAAAAAATGATGAACTCTGGGAACAATGCCTGGAATATTATTAAATTACCCTTGTCCTGTGCACTGATTTGCAACCTGTGGGACTTCAGACCTTCAGAGCATTTGTGTTCCAGTGATATTCCCAAACTTCCACCATTGTATCCGTTTCCCTCCGATTTAAAATGTCCATTGGTGTTAAAGTAAAAGGTTTCTTTAAAACATGGCGTGAGCTGTCATCACCGTGATGGCTCCGTGTGCTTCTGAGTAAATTCAGGAACTCACACAGGACATAATAAATGAAGCTGGAAGTTAAAATTACGATATCTGAAGTTATTCCATTTGTATTTTTAAGAGGGTGGTTATCATTTACTTCATATTTACCTAATTTTGTCATTATTCATTGGATCCTTTCATCTCACCCTTATTTTGTTGGACTTTATTTCCTATTAGAGGCACTGGAATCATGAAATAATTCACACCACAGGTAATAACGAGAAGTTAATATGCTCCAAAAAACTATATTTCTTCTGAAGTTATACCCAAAGATATATACTATGTGCCACCAGCCAACAAAGTAGGAAAACTATTTTCCTCCAGACACACAAAACACAACTTTGACTAACTATTGGAGTTTCATGGTAAAACAAAACAAAAACAGCCCAGTGGGTTCCATACCACTGTTAAAATGCACCATGGTTGCTCCGGTTCTTAGGGTGTTTTCTTTTTCTCATCTTATTTCACTGTGAGCACATTACACTAACATGAATAATTGAATATGTGGTTAACAGATTTATATAGGAAACTGAAGATCTCTGTTTACACACGAAGTATCTCAGAGGGATTCAATGAAAACCTGAATAATTGAATTTTTTAAAATTAAAATTCCATTGATCGGTCTGAGCTTGAGTTTTTATAGGAAGAGTAGGATACATGCTTGTTTCTTTACCTTTATTTCTTTACCTTTATTTCAAAGTCATGAGTGGATTCTCAAGTATTTTCTAAAGATGATAAGTGTGGCTATTTTAGCATTATCATGAACTCATACATGCAATAAAATTTGTATTTTAATACATTAAAACTGCTATCCTTACTAATGGTCAGAGTGTGTCATCTTTAGCCAGTGGGAGCCCATTCAAGTTGGCTCTAGAATCCTTTTGACACCGTCCTAGAAGTCTTAGACAGATTTGCTTTCTAGTAACTGCACAACTGGTGAAGGAAATTCTCCTTTATAGATCAATTCCAAGTGAAAAGTTAAGAAAGATGGACATAAGGAAAGTATCCTTATTTTTCAGCCCCTTATGAACAAAGGGATCTCGGCAATGATCATCAAGGTCTTGTAACATCCCCCCAAAGAGAGACGACCGTGCCCTTTGTTGATCCTGGTGGAAGAACTCAGTACCATTAATGAAGCAGTCTTGCTAAATTCAAGCTAGTCTTGAAACTGATCAACATTCTAGACCCTGCCATGTAGTTGCAACATAGGTTCAGCCTACCTGATGGGAAGCTCTGGGGCTAGAATGGCCAATCAGAGTTCTCCCAAATTGAAGTAAGTGGCTACCTGTTTTTATCCCTACACCAACCAATCATGGATCAAGGTCCACCCCTTGGGGAGAGGTACAGATTGGAGGGTAGGCAATGCCTTGCCGTCTAGGGTAGTTCTCAGGAAGGGAGTCTAGGAGCCGCCAGCAGCCAAAATTTTCAGCAAAGAAGGATGAGTATGCCACTCTGAAGACGGGATGCATTAGGAGCACAGCATCGCCTCTTCCACCAGTCCATAGTAAGTTCTCCATATCAAGCTCTCCCAAGTCTTTGAGATTTTCCTTGATAAATCTCATTGCCAATCACTCCCTGGCAACCATTCCAGGCCAATTTAAGGATATTCTGAAAGCCACATGTATAGTGTTTAAGAGAAGTCCAAGGGAACATTAATGAAAGCAAAGAAAACGTGAGCTTGGGGAGTGGTTTTTCAGGTTCATAGGCTTTGCAGTAGAGTCTAAGTTAATAGTTACCTCTTCTCTGTGGTGTACCTCCAGTCTGATACGACTCTGATTTTTCTTTCTTACCTTTAATCTGGAAGGTTTTCAACTGTGCATCATCTTTTCCCCTTCATCACCCTCCAGGTATCCGTGACCAGGAAGGCAAAGTTGACTGTGAAAATACTAAAGAAAAAGTGAATATTATTGTCATTGTATGTTAAATTACAATATACAACCTTATGTTTCTAGACCCACGATCCTGTAACTGTACTCTAAGCTGTTCAAAATAGTGGCAATATACATTTCCAAAAACATATTTTTAATGGAATTTCATTCTTTTGTTATATAAACATAGACATTGTCAAAAAATCCATATTGCACCAAAAAGCCCAAAGGAAAAAAAATAACCTGCCTACCTAAAGATAACTACTCTTTTTTTTTAAAAAGAGATATCTATTCTTAACATTTTGTTTTATATACTGCCAATCATTCTCTGCAGGTAGAAATACATACTATAGGATGTTTTACCATAATATTTACATGCTGTACACATTTTTTGAAATAAGCATTTTTTCAATTGGTACTATAAACAATTTCCCCTTTGCTATGAAAGATTTTTCTGTCCAACCATAGGAATTGATGGAATATATATATATGGATATATTACAAATAATTTATCCAGCAATCTATTGCTATCTATTTAGAAAGTTGAAGTATCCTTTTTATAAGCTATAAAAGGTGGTGGGGTTGGTGGTGAATATTCTCATTAAAAACCTTCACAGTCTCTCCATTTCCTAAAGGAAATTCCTAAAATCAATATATCATCCCTTTTTTTTTAAATTTTTAAATTTTTTATTTTTTTCCTTTTTTTTTTTTAAATGAAAAAATTACGTTGATAATTCTTCCAGAAAGGGCAACAACAAATCTCACCAAACCTGAACTGGGATAGAGAGCTCTCATCTACAAGTCTTAGGGAAATAGATGCTTAAAAAATGGTGATGTATTAGCAAACACACCAGATTTTGATTATTTTGAATGACAGCAATAGATATTATTTTCTTTTATTATTTCATGGATGTTTGGAGAAAATTAATATGTAAAAATGGATGTAAGGCGTTCACAGTCTAATTTTCCTGTGAACGTCTAAAAGGTTAAAGACCACTTACTATGTACGAGTTTGTCTGTAACAGGAAATTAACTACTCATACAATTAAGGCCTCTGCTTGGAGTTCTCCATCTGACTTTGACGCGCTAATAAGACAAAATTACCCAAATCCAGGAAAGGAATTAAGAAATGTAAAATGTTAATTAAATGCAGAAACAGAATTAATAAGAAAACCAATGTGAAATGGAAATTAAACAAGGGGAAATAAATACATATATATCTGTTTAGACAGCAGGAAAAAAGAATCCAAGAGAAGTACAGAATTAAAAATAGATCTTGAAAAGATCTTTGAGTGATCTGCCCACCTTTAATAGATTCAGTGATGGTTTCTGAGAAAGTAAATAAGCATCCAATTTCAATAATCTGTGGATGTTTCCTTCACAAAACCAAAGTCCCATAATCACATCTAATTGAAACAGAAAATCCATTTATTTTAAGATGTCATTGAAATGCCTTTTTTGGATGGAATTTGGTAGCTAGGATTATGGAATAATCCTTAACTTCCTTTCCAAGAAGGGGAATCATAATTCAAATTAAACAGAAGAAGAGAGGCAAGTTCTACTATAGAGGCAAGATCTACTATATTAACTTCTCAAGGAAATCTAATCCCTGATAACAGTTCCATAAACTCTCCAGGCAATTTGGGTTTTGACAAAAATTCAGTGGTTTAGGGATCCTTCCAAATTGGCAATGGGCATTGCAGAGAAATGGCATTTACTGAGGGTTTCCTGATAATTATCTTGTGTTTCCACCTTTACTCCTTTTAACCCAAATCTGTTTTTAACATTCTGGGTTGTTCTTTTTTTTTTATTATTAGTGCTTTTAACACATGGTGAGCAGGAAGAAAATGCAATTACATTTTCCTACTACCATATATTTCTGATGAAAAATGTTATTGAAGAGGACGATGGATTATGTTTTTTTATATTTAACATTTGATAATGTTACTAAGATCCAACCCGGGATGACAGAGCTGTATCAATATTTCTTAATAAACGTTGTGTCTTTTCAATATGTACTTGTTTTAATTTTTACTTTGATTTTGTTTTAATTTTTACTTTGATTTACTACGTTTTGACTTTTAATACTTAAGTGTTTGTTAACACTTTAAATATGATTTCCTGATGAAAAAATCATGTCAGGAAATCATATTTAAAGTATGAAATTTTGCTGTTTCCCTTGTTCTTCGAGGTCATTGGATATGTGTGTGAGACAGCTGTCTCACCTCAAGAATTTGTGTTCTCTGTTTATTTTGTCCTATTTTTTCTTCTTTCCCTTTGAGATGCCAGTTACAGGTGTGGTTACTGCTTCACAGGTAATGGTACTGTAAGCACACCTAGTAATCAAAGTGGAAAAGGATTATAATTAATGAGATTGATGAAGCTGGGCTCAAGAAAATATTTCAGAAAAAAAAAAGAGATTTAGAGAGTCAGTGGTATAAACCTTGTCTTTTTTTGGATGCATCTGAGTAACTATATCCCAGACACAAGCTCTGTAGCCCAGGTGAGTAGAAGGTGAGTGGACAATTCAGATACATATAAGAAAATACATATTTATATTTATATATAAACATTATATATAATATATATAGCAATAGCAATGGGATATCTATATAGATATGGTGTCTATGTAGCAGTGATATCTATCTATCTTAGAGCAATTATATATACATATGTTATATGTATACATGTACAAATATATACAAATATATGTGTATATTTATTTATTATTATTTTTTTAAATAAATAATTAATTTTTCGCTGTGTTGGTCTTCGTTGCTGCGTGCAGACTTTCTCTAGTTGCAGCGAGTGGGGGCTACTCTTCCTTGTGGCGAGTGGGCTTCTCATTGTAGTGGCTTCTCTTGTTGCGGAGCACAGGCTCTAGGCACACGGGCTTCAGTAGTTGTGGTGCGCGGGCTCAGTAGTTGTGGTGTGCAGGCTCAGTAGCTGTGGCACATGGGCTTAGTTGCTCCACGGCATGTGGGAGTTTCCCAGACCAGGGCTCGACCTGTGTCCCTTGCACTGGCAGGCGGATTCTTAACCACTGCACCACTAGGGAAGTCCCTATCTGTATATTTATAATGTATATTTGTATATGTGTGTATGTATATATATGTATTTCATCATGACATCATGATGTGTTTCCTTCAGAAAGTATAAATATATAAGTATAATCCATTTTTTTATTCTCAAGTGGTATATATATTCCTTTTCCTATTGAATCCATCCATTCGAAGCCCTCTCAGTGAGCGTAGGAATACTCTATCTTCTTAAGGATCATGAACAGATCTGTCCATCTGAGACAGAAAAGAGGTGTAGTCTGAAGGATGTCCTGTGGATTCATCATCTTGGACCATTCGGGGACATAGTCTGGAGAGGTGGGAATAATATGGGTTCATTGGAAGCTGTCACTCTCTAGGGAAGGTCATGATGGAGTCAGGGTATAATGTACATCCATGCTTTCTAAAGTGTATTATGACTCAGAACACTCATGTAATGAGATTCTCTGGGGGAAGAAGGTGAGGGTAGGTTCTGGGGTCAAATAAGATTTACAGATTTGCAATATACATTAGAATATTAAAATCTCCTGAATATCCTGCAGTGAAAGATCCTGCTTTTCCAGCACCCACACACTTATGTAAATTGAATTTTCTCCTCCCTACTAAAAATGGGCATAACTTTTCGAGAAATACAGTTAGAAAATGAAAAAACTATTGAAAATGAAAATGAAAAAAATTATTTTTATTATTGAGAATAAAAATTATTTTTATTATTGAGAATAAAAATACAACACAACCTTTGTCTTCAGTGTTCTCATCTGTACATTAAGTCGGTTGGATAAAACAGTTTCTAAGATTCCTTTCACATTGGAAGATTTATATCTGATGACAATAATTACCTGATTTGACTCTAATTATTTTTTCTGCAACATAACAGTCCTTTGCCTCACTTTATCTTTTTTCCATTATGCAGATTTGTTTTTGATAATAGGATGTGTTATCTGGAAATACCTGTATATTATATACAATATATCCTTTTTCCATATGGCCTTACCGTCCTCCAATTTAGTAAGAACACAATGAAACGCATCCTTTAGAATATCTTCAGTTGAATTTTGAAATCTATCCATTAATGCTAATTTTTCCAGCTGCAATTCATACATCATGAACACACTCATATATAGAGGGGTCTTGAAAAGATGCAAGACTTTGAAATCTCCCATCCTTCTGGAAGTTGCCAAAAGAACATTGTCTTTAGTTTCAAATTTGCTTCTCTCCTGGAAAAAGAAAACTGCTGACAAAATGAAAGTCTAATTAACTCCCAGGTTTGTAGGAGACATGTGTGAAATTTTAAAAAATGTGAAAGGTGGCACTTTTCTGTCTTCATTTATAACATGTCCTGTCATCCACCTGCAAGGTTAGTCATTTCTAAACGTCTCACCTGGAAAATGCACGTCGGCTGTCACAAAAGTAGGCAATGATGCTCAAGGTCATTGTAAGTGGAAGGAGTGGATGAAGTTGAAAATGCTTCTTACAAAAATGCAGAAAACAACTGGTTCTACCACATTCTTTAGTCCATTGCAAGCAACTTCATTTAGATTGGTGTAATATGCAGCTGAACTCCAAAGCAATCTAGCAATCGCAGTGTTTCTAAAAGGTTTGGACAAACAATTAAGGAAAGATATCAGAGGCAGCTATCCATTACAGGAAAGCATTAATGTCCCAGATCTATATGCAAGTGGTGTATCGTCTGATCTAGCAAGATTGACGGTTTAATACCAAAGGGTGAAGAAGGAGTGGTGATGAGATCAGGATCTCAAAGGGGTACCTGCATTACCAAGTTCATCACAGCCCTATTCACAATAGCCAAGATATGGAAACAATCGAAGTGTCTGTGGATGGATGGATGGATAAAGCAAAGATGAGATAGATACGTTGATTGATAGGTAGATACAAAGATAGATAAGATAGATAGTAGATAGATAGATAAGATAGACACTTAGAAACATAGATAGATATAGATGATAGACAGATAATAGATAGACACACACACAATGGAATATTATTGGGTCTTTAAAAATAAGTAAATCCTGACATTTCTGACAACATTGAGGGACCACGAGAACATTATGCTAAGTGAAATAAGCCAGATACAGAAAAACAAATACTGCATGATCTCACTTACATGTGGAATCTAAAAAAAAATTGAGCCACAGAGAGAAGCAGAGAGTATAATGGTGGTTTCCAGGGGCTGGGGGCTGGTAGAAATGGGAAGATACTGGTCAAGGGATAAAAAGTTCCAGTTATGCAAGAGAAATATGTTCTAGCAATCTCATGTACAGCATGGTGGCTGTAATTAATAATACTTCACTGTGTACTTGAAATTTACCAAAAGAGTAGATCTCCAGGGTTTTACCACACATGAAAACATCGTAACTAAGTGAGGTGATGGATACATCAATTAGCTTGATTGTGGTAATCATTTCAAATGGATACGTATCTCAGATCATCATGTTGTACACATTAAACACATAGAATTTTTATTTGTCAGTTATACTTCCATGAAGCTAGAAAAACAAAAGAAATGGTAAATTGCACCAGACTATACTAGCAGGATATGTTTGTCACAGAGTTACATCCAAATCAATACAGTGGGAGATTAATGACAAAGTACTCACACTCTGTCTTTTTTTTTTTAAAAAAAATATATTTATTTATTTATGGCTGCGTTGGGTCTTCGTTGCTGTGCGCGGGCTTTCTCTAGTTGCAGCGAGCGGGGGCTACTCTTCGTTGTGGTGCGTGGGCTTCTCATTGCGGTGGCTTCTCTTGCTGCACAGCACAGGCTCTAGGCGCGCGGGCTTCAGTAGTTGTGGCGCACAGGCTTAGTTGCTCCGCAGCATGTGGGATCTTCCTGGACCAGCGCTCGAACCCACGTCCCCTGCATTGGCAAGATCCTTAACCACTGCGTCACCACGGAAGTCCCCACACTCTGTCTTAAAAGTTGTATAAAGAAAAGTCCTGGCAAGCAGAACACATGGTATTTTCTAGAATTATCCGGAGTTCCAGGTGTGATCGTTTGCCTTCTTTAAAGGCATCAGGAAGCATCAGTTCCATAGTTTGGATGTTCCATTAACTTCCAGAGTGACGTCAGCAAACTCATGAAGCTCTAGGGGTCTCAGTATCGTAAGTATAATTTACCAGTTCCTCCATCAAACTGTGAGTCCTGCTTTAGAGTACGTAAACCCTAGAGCGTCATCTCACCCAGATTTACTATTCTCATGGACATCTGATATGAAAAACACTGAGTCCCAGTGGAATTATTTGATGAAAGCAGACCTAGTATCCCAACGTTCATCTTCCAACTTTGAATCCTAGGCTCCTTCTGAAACATCATTCTACCTCTGAGCTTCCATATTTTGTGTAATACATCCTTCTCTTGTAGAAATCCCCCTTTCCCTTTCTATCAGTTCACGTGTTCATGTTTAGATCCATGGAAGTGTTGGGTCAAAGCCCCTGCCTTGGACTTTTCTCTGTCTCATGCTTGACTCAGAACCGTTCACTCAGTGACTTCAACCTAATCCTCTGTGATGTCCCCTTATCCATCCATCTCTCAGAACGTAAGTGTATGTTTGACTCTCGTTGATCAGTGAATATTTTATCATCCAAGTTACATGAGAAAGTGCTTATGGAAGATTCCATGATCTGTCCCATTTTTTCTACTTCCTTGCCATGAATTG